CTTGGAAGTTGTGCGGTTGTTGCTCGAGGCTGGAGCTGACAAGAATGCGGCAAATGCAGATGGGTTTACCGCCTTGATGGCGGCAACTGCGATTGGCCACTTGGAAGTTCTCGAGCTTCTTGCTTGAGGCTGGAGCTGACAAGACTGGGGCCGAAGAGGACTTCCATCTTAGTGAGTCAGAGGGCATCTTTCTCTGCAAAAGCCAACGGCTGGATTTCGGTTGTGTTTGATGACCTTTTCAGACACGTCCAGCTATCCAGCAACTGCGTCAAATCTAGAAATGCATGACCCTAGAGAGAGGTATATTAATTAATATGTTGGGGCCCTCGGTCCTACCGGCGACAAATCCAAGCAATTACTTGGTTAACGTGATATTTTGGAGATACATTAGGGCCTCGACTTGGTGCCCCATATTGGAACCAGTGGCCACTTTTACACACCCACAAAATACCTTGCTCCCCAACAGTTCACCAAATACTTCACGCGGCAACAATTCACAACATGTTCCAATATTGTCCAATACCACTTCCCCCCTTGGGTACCAAAGTGTTGAGTATTGTTTTAAGATGTTTTAAGGCTTTCTGTTCATGCTTTTGTTCTTTTTCGGCCGAACCGTAGCCAGTTCAGCTCACGAAACAACCACCCGTCCTCACGACGTCCGGGGCCCGCCATGGACCTGGGGGATCCGATGATGTCGGTGAAGAAGATGAAGGCGACGGATCCACCAGATGGACGCATCCACACCTTCAGGAAGGGTAGCTCCTCAGTGGGGAGGTAGCTCCCTACAGGGGGGGTGGATCTGCCCACACTGACGGAAGAGAAGGTTGATCCGAAGAGGGCGGTCGAGACCGGGATTTTGGATGTGGATGAGTCCACGGGTTGCATGGGTTGCATGCATCGTTCATCATGCATTTGTGCTTCGTCACATGGGGTCAACAGGGGCTTCTCCTGAACCCTGAGTGATGCGGTTTCAACGTCCCCAATAGCGTGCCCGCCAGCCACACTTGTTATATTCCCACCACAACAATCACACTTGTTTCTCTTGGTATAAATCTCAGCCTGTGTTCTGTGAGGCTTTGATGGCGGTTCACAGAAGAAACAAATAAATTGCAGGCAAGACATCATGTGCAGTTGAACTGGCCACGGCCATGAATGTCGTTGACTTGTTGTTTTCCCGGTTGACTTGTTGGATCAGGCAATCTTCCGGAAGTATGACACGGATGGGGATGGGACGATCAGCCGGGGTGATCTGGAGAAGATCTTGCGCAAACTGATCCCGGGCATCTCCCAAATTGCACCTCGGCATCCGATGAAGAGACGTATTCTTTTCCGAAATCCAAGCTGAGAAACAGTCACATCTTCGGTTTGGTGCAGCCAATCCCCATATTTATATAAACCTCCTACTACTCGTAATTTTGGGCGAATGGCGATCCCCAAAAAATGGGTCATAGATGCAGGCTTGCGCCTTTGTCACTCTTTTTATGAGAAAAAACTCTACAGAAGTTCTTGCGGAGAGTGTGTGTGTTTGTGAAAGACATACACAGCTAGTATGCAATATATAAGGTATAGGCAAGCTCCTTTGTCATCAAATGACCTCCAAGCAGCTGGTGTAGGAGGTCTCCACAGGGGAGTAATTACTATGTTTTCGAGTGCAACGGTTCTGACATGTGAGGGGAGAAAGACAAGACGGACATGAGGTTCCTGATGAATCTTTCTCCAAAAGTCATAATCAATCTATAAACATAATAGATCATTATGATCATTTTGTGCCTATAATGTATCCACCGGCCGGCAAATGTAACTCATTGAATCCTGGTGCGCATTTCAGTAACTGAAAGTCGACCGGTACTCCAGTCGTCTTCCGCAGAATCGATCCACCCTCGACCTGCCAGGATCTGGATTTGATCTTCCGCCCCTCGCTCGCTGTTTTGGGCGGATGGAAGGCCGTCGCGCGGGTTGTCGGTCAGGCGCTGCGCCGTGTTTTTGTTGTGTTGAAGGACGTCATTCTTTCAGAGCCTGGGAGAGAGTCATGGCAAATTGTTGGTGGTATTTTGGGACTCCTTCCACTAGGCAAGCACTGTCCATTCTATTTTCCCCATGTTGTGTTACTTGTTGTTTGTTATGTTTAAGCTCTTCTATATATAATTGTTTATGACGGACTGTTCTTAGCATTTCTGTTTATTTGTTTGTTCAACAGTCGATAATGCTACTGAGAGTATGTGAGTTACTATATAGATATGCTGGTGACAATACACGTCAATGGAGAGCACCATCATAAAGCGAAAGGAATTGATTCCCCTAATAATTACCCCAGCCACTGCGAGGCATACCAATGAAGTATTGGGTTTCTCCTACCAGGAAGACCCAGCAGTTACATATTGAGCTTAGAGTGCATCAGCTATTCGTGTCACAGCGTGGTCGTGGTGCGGGATTGAGTTCCCAGCTCCATACCGAGAGCATCTCACAACAAGGTGGTCTTCAGAGAACGGCCTCAATCCTTGACGGTGCGCATGACCCACCGGCAGTGGACAGGGCTCCGTGTTAAAACGCCAAAACGCCTGTGCAGACGTGTTGAATGCAGGGACGGTGGACATTTGGGTGCCATGCACCCGCTTCTTGGGGCTTCATGAACGGCTCCTGACTCAGGAAAGATCGACAAGATGCTTGCTTGCAGATAGACTCGTTGGGGATCCATTTGGCAATCAAAGTGATTTCGAGAAGATCCCACCAGGTTTGCCCAATTGATTTGCTAAGCAGGATGTTTTGCACCTTCCAGGATGGATTACAGTGATTAATCCCGAGTACCTTATTAAAAAGCCTCACCAATTAAAAAAACACCATGTCCGAAACCCTAAATACGGCTTATATGTGTTTCTAAATTACCGCCCTTTCAAACCGCTACTAAACTACCAACATGGTCGATTTTGGGAGTAGTTGTTTAAATTAGGTTCCAAAAACAACCGTAACTGCCCACCTCTGTGCGCCCTGTCTATCCACCATGACACACCGCGTGGCACAGCGACATCACCTTTCGCAAGCTTTAGTTGTTGGTCGAAAGAAGAATCAATAATATGTTAATAACGGTTTTTGTAGGGGAAAAGGAAGACCCTTCGATCTGGAGGTTTTTGGAATTTTTGATACGAGTTTAATAAATTATGTTTATTGAAATTGTCTGGTTTGGTTTTGAAGCTCTTCCCAGGTGACCCTATTTTGGACCCCCCCGATTTCAGGGACCACCTATTTAAAATGCGACCGAGTTTTTCTTATTCTTAATAGGGGGAGGGGGGGACCCCGTGTTTTTTAATAGGTGGACAGGATTACTGGCCCTGTGGATTCCAGATGGCCCACTGTGGTGTCCTTGGTGATTCGAAAAAAAAAAAAAACACACATACCGTAGCTGGAAAGAGACCCTTTGTTGAAGCCAGGAATTCCTCAAGCTACTGTACGACACCGGCGGTTCCAACCACATTCCCCCCCCGAAACTAACATGGAACCTGAGAATTGACCCGTAGAAGACCATTTTCCTTTGCAACCCAAAGCAGCTGGGTTGCAAAGGAAAATGGGGTTCCATGTTGATCTGCAGGGGAGCACGTACAGGGAGCACCTACAAGATCCTACAAGCATCTACGAACTTTGGGTTGTCCTTTGGGTTGTCCCGTGGTTGTTGGCCATTGGTCTAGGAACTTCAACAACTTGGTGGAGTATGATGAGTTCGACGCCTGGCTACAACTGCGTGGAGGGATGTGCACCGGGGGCCTTTTGGTGGCCGGGTTTGAGATCATTTTAGGGTCCAATGAGCAACCGCCAAACCGTGCCATGACGCATTCATTATAGAGATTTATAGAGAACGGTCGTGAATTCAGGAATTGGGCTAGAACCGGCCAAAGCGAATTGGGCCCTTCCTAAGAATTGGCTGAATCATGTCCTCTGACAGTACCGTTTTGGCAATCAACCAGCAATACATGGCACAGTCGGGCAAGATGATCGATGTTCTCCGTCCGATCTTCGGACCAGTCCACATGCCTTCAGCCTGCGCCAAGGTGAACCTCTTGTTCTTCGACCCCATCGCGGAACCGGTGCGAACGCCCGCGCACCATGTGACCAGAGAGGCAGCTATGGCACACACCTGTGTGTAGTACCGTCTCCGTGAGGATGACCCCCCGAAAGATTGGCAGCTTGGCCTGGCGGCCTATAGAAGTGTTTTAAGCATGTTTAAAGGATGTATTCAGTATTCAGGTCCCAGACTGCTTGGGTTTGCGGGTCAGCCTTCCGGCCAATCGGTTGGTGACTTCACCTTGCGATGTTATGAACTGTATGACTATCCAACGTGTTTATGCAGAGGATGAAGACATAGAAGTTGGAACACGCGAGCTTGACGAGGATAGACTCTACATCAAAGAAAGAAAGAAAGACTGTAGCTTCCAGCACCTTTCAGGGGGTCACCAATGGAAGACCCCACCCTACTTGTGCATCTGAAGGTCCAGCTTGGAGGGTTTGATAAATAGCATCAACCTCTCCCCATTGGGCCCAGAAAACCTGAAACCAAGAGGTCGGGGCATCTCGGGCTGTATTTTGGGCTTCTAACATCACCATCCTTGGCTCATCATCGTGACTCGTAGGGGCGGATGGAGGGCCTCCCATGATGTGTCACATGATGGGTCGCATCCGTGAACCAGAACTGGGGATCAACAGATGTCAAAGGTCATAACAACAACTCCTTGACTCCATTTCAAGGAAGAAGAGGTCATCAAATCTGATTTCCAAGGACCTATAATTGGGGAAGCGAATTGGGGAAGCGAATCAGAAACAGTTTCAATGAGTTCTTGGAGGTTTTCATGTTGACTTTGTGGGTGGAAGAATTCCTGCATATATATATATCCAAAGGGAAATGGAATGGGCCAAAAAAAAACGGACCTGCCATGGGATGCCCACCGCACATGTCAGGTTTTGTAGGGTTGCTTCAATCAAGAACAGCCTTGGTATCCATTTCAGATGACATGTAGTCACCATATGTTTTCTTTCTCTGTGTTTTGTGATCACTTGATTGACCCTCCAACTGGACATTTTGAGAATCTCGAGGCGGCCTATGTGATCTTTCTCTTTTGGCAGCAAGCCTCCAGAGCCACTCCCTGGTCGGCCATGGTTCATTCCATGGATGTGCATGCACTACTGGGTGCTGTGGAGTAGCTTGGACATGATGGTTGGCATGCTGCAACTGAATCGTTGGATTCAGAATGAAGACACACTTTTTTTGTTGGCGAACTCGTGAAGAAAGCTCTTTGCAGGGAGAAGCGATTGGACATCTACTATATATAGACAATGTTGGATTGAAAGCTCGCTTGTTTCATTCCCCCATGCACCATCATCAAGCAGGATCATCAAGGTTCTATAATAATTGCTTGGCTGTTTTCGGCCGCTTCGCATGGATGTATTCTTGTCACTAAGAGATAAAACGCTTAAGTCACTTGAGTGTCCCAGCGTATTGACTGTCTCCTTATATAACTCCACAGATCCCAGCGGCGCAAGCAAGCTTGCGGGGTCGTGGCTCTTCAGCCGGTGAGGTCCAGGTCGCTCCGTTTGGAGGAGGTTGGTCGGAACCAGGTGGGTCGGAACCAGGTGGGTCCGAGGGTGGTGATTTTGGAGGTTGGACTCCTGAGATACGTTGCCACGGATTTGCCTCATGACCAGGTTTCTGTGTGTTTGTTGCTTCATGTGGTTTCGTTTTGAGGAACCCAAAAGGTGAGGCGCTAGCCGCTAGTCGGAGTTCCCAGCGAAATCTCCGCACCGAACATCGCATGCCTCAAACCTCCGTGCAGCACGTGCTGAGAACCAGACATCCAACACCCTGGGCCCTCCAACACCCCAGTCCTGGCACCTGCAGCACGGTCAGTGGCGTTGTAAGGCACCGAAGCAAAGCCCTGGATGCGCCTTAGCCCGGAACCGCACGGCCTTTCGCGGGGACCGGGCAGGGCTGGAGGGAGCGTCCAACGAGTTCAGCCGTTTGGGGAGGGGTAGGCAGCTCCAGGCTCCATTCACCGACATGTTTGTTGGAACCTGACACTCCCTGGAATAGTTACATATAATGAATTATAATGACCCCATTTATGATCCTAAGCTAGGGATAGCTAGAGTAACTACTCCATACATGGATGGTCTGGAAATGTTGGATTGTTTCAGATGAACGGAAACGTCCAAGATAGCAAAGATCCCCAGAAAAGCTCATATATGCGGATTGGTGACCGGTCTTCCCAGAAGACAATCATGCTTCTTGAAATGCATCACATGAGCCTTTCCTCAACTACTTCCTCAACCACTTCCAACCGATACCAGATCCATTCTAAAAGCCACTAGCGCTTTCCGGGCTCAGATGATGTGCTGTCAAATTTGGGATCGAGGCTGTGCGCCATCGGATTCAACGGCTGGAAGGCGAAGTTGGCTGACTGAAAGTATGCTTTGTTGGGAAGAACCAATTCGTTTGAGGCTTCGTCTTGCAGTCTTGGATGTTTGTGTGAATGCGGTCCGGTCAGGCTCCATTTGCATGTGTGTTCCCCCTAAAGAATGACAGCTCTCTTTGACATGGCCACACAATCTTCAGCAAACAGGAGGTAGGTTTGCCGCTGGTAGACAGAAGCGGGCCAGATCATGATGTTGTGCTGGCAGTTCATTGCTTTTCGGAAAGGCTCGTGGTCGTGAGCTTCATCCACAATGCATGCACCCATGCGCTCGTGTTGCCAGATTGTTCTTCATAGGCTTGAGCACGAAAGAAACCCACCACTTCGCCACTTCTTACTCAAAGAAGTTTGAATGCCTCCGGAAACTTACACCCCGGAAAATTAACATGAAACCTGAAAGCGTCTGGGTTGTAGAGGAGTCTGGTCCATTTTCATGTTCCATGCTAATCTTCCCGGGTGTTAATCACTTGTGTTGAAAAAGATGGGAATTGAAACACAATCTTCCCAGCTTGCACGACGGCTCGAGCGCACAGCTTTCAGCGTGCCAGGCGAAATCTTTGACTTGGTGTCGAAAGTAGAGCCCCTTGGACTTCCAAATGCCAGCAGTCTGTCATGACTTGAGACTTTGACCTGATCCTGCTGACTCAATCGCTCGTGTTTTTTTTTACTGCCCATGTGTACTGGTACACGTTGTTAGTGGTGGTTGATGTCGAGTCAAGACACCCACCCGGTCAGTCAACACACTCATAGAGCAGCTCATCATGTTCATTCCCTAGGGATCCACATACCTTCTCAGAAGGTACGACTGGACCATCCAAACCTATATAACAGATATAACAGTGTCTCCAATCACCTTCTGAGAAGGTACTTGGATCCCTAGGGATTATGTTTGTTTGTAGCTTCAGCTTGTGTAGCCTCTACGTAGAGGCTGCCAGCACCTGGCCATGTCAGGGGCCGGGCTTGCCTGGTGAGTTGTTGCGTGTAGAGCTGAATTGGCTTGTGGCCAGACCTGCATTATCCTACATTGATAATGCCACAACCAATAGTACATGGCTAGTATTGCAAGTACGCCTGTCATGCACAGACTCTCAGAGCTGCCTCGTTGGTCACACACAACGTTGGCAGACGGGGCCACCGAATCGAAGCCATGATTTCCCTCCACCTGAATTGGACCCGTGCACAACGGAATCGAAGCGCGCCAGGGAGAAGATGATCTCCAGAATCTGCAGCTCCGAGGCCGGTGAACACCCACCGTCCGTGGCCGCGACGCAGCACGTTCGTGCCGCCCAAATGCCACCGGTTCGCCACGTGCACGTTCCCGGGATGGGTGAACTACGGGGCTTTCGGAAAACTTCCAGGTTGGGGAGATGACAGGGCTTCTCGCGGGTGAGGCGCTTCCGCCGGTGAGGCGGGTTCTTTTTGTCCCCCAAGACCGCCGTAGCTTCGGGAGCGGTTCGGGAGGGGACCGTCGTGCTTCACTCACCAGTGGCACTCACCGAATCTGAAAACCACTGGAGGAGGCGGCGGAAGTGACTTTTCTCGGCAAGGTGCACTTTCAGATGTCACACGTGGGTCTTGGAAGCCGGGTGTAGTGATGGTGTTTGGCTGTGATATGTGATGAATCAGGAGCCAGTGAGTTCAGGTCATTGTTTGTCCTCCCTGCAGCTCGTATAGTGTTCTAACCCACCAGGCCCCACCGACATGGCCGCGCACGCCATGCGGAAAACCTCGGCAGGTCAAACATAAGCTGCACGAGTCTGAGCGCGAGGTTGATCAGGAGCTACAGCTACAGTGGGAACCTGGAAACCTTGGGAACTCACCAGCTGAAGAATCCCCAGTAGTCAAGAATGCTCGCTTTTTATGTGTCTATAGTGACCCACACAATGCCATACAGACTCACTGACTCATGAAAAAAAAAACATAATAAGGTGGTCTCCCGGTGCCGAGTTGTGATTAGCTGATTAGATTCAGATCTCAAATAGCTCCCGACAACAAAAAGGCGTTCCTCGCCCGGCCAACCACAGGAGACCTTCGTGAAGATGGTTTGGCCAAGGTCCGGTCCGTGGGTCCCGCGTTGGAACAGGTCGGAACATCAGATCCAATATGTCATAAACATAATTAAGGGTCTATATGTTGGCAAGATATTTTGGATGACTACTTATAAGATCTTATAAGATCTGGAGTATCGATTTACACAGGTCATTTAATAAACTTCAGTAGCTTGGAGAGTGAATGACAGTAGTAAATAGCAGGTGAACCCACAAATATCATTTTATAGGAATTCAGTTGGCGAGGTGTCGGAGGCTGGTCAAAACACGCTTTCTCATTTTATAACGATTACGTTCTGGACTGGAGATTGAATTGGTGTTTTGGATGTTGCATCATACGGACATTCCCAATTTGCAATGTTCATTTCATAAATGGTCTCTTCTGGATGCAGAATTCTATCTTACTATATGATGTTTTTTTCACAAACCAAAACACCTATCCCTCACATTCTATAAACACAAATGATTTATATATAAACGATCATTTGACCCGCCTATGAACAATCAAGGGGAATCAAAAACAACAGACAAAAAACACAAAATAAACATACCAGAAACAGCAACAAAAATAAGAATAGGATAGACAGGTCTACTGCTCCACGCTGCTCCGCCACATCTTCGCTAAAATGGCCAGTCGGGTTAGGCTAGACGGCAAGACCGACTGGTGGATCTCTCCAAGAAGCCGAAAGCTCCCGAGTCCTTACCACAAGGCTTTCACGACCGACTCAGATTCCTGGAAAAATCTTGTTTTTATGGCCGGTCTACCAGTGTACTGTACCAAGTTGGACAGTGTAGCTGATCACGCCGTCGAGATGTGTCTCTTGCCGTTGTTTTTTTTGTGAATCACGTTGCCCTGCTCCAAAGGATACGTATAGACTGTATGACAATGTATGACATGTTAGTTTGGAACAACGGTTGCAGACCACTAATCAAGATGCTATGTTTTTGTTGGGGGGGTGAGCGGCTGAGATTTCAAGAAATGGATTTGGGAGAAACAGTTTTCCCGGAAGATAGACCGCCACAATAAAGATGTTGGTGTCATAGATTCACAGGGCGATGGAGGGGAGACATTGAGTGCTGCAACCAGTTGTCATGTATAGAGTATAGAGAATCGGGTTTTGGTCTCTCCACTCTTCAGCAGATTTGCTACCTGTTGTCGATGGTTGCTTGACAATTCAAAGGTAATGGTGGGTCAGAGGGTTATCCACCACCTTGCTTGATCCAGCACCAGTCATGTTGGGTTGATCATTTAAATCGTTGCTTGCTTTTGTGTGTGTGCTGCTGCTATTGGATACCTCTTGCATCGCCTCTCAGGATCAAGCGTTGCACCTCGGCACCATGCGGCGCCCGACGGCGACGTGGGCAGTTGCTGTTCCAACGACCCACAACCTCGGGGGACTCTCCCACATCCATCCCGAAAGACATGGAGAGTGACATGTGGCAACCTTGACATGTGCGTTGATGACATGGGTGGCTTCCTGGAGATCTCCACGCAGGGCTGAAGGGTGGGTTCCGCGGTTCCCCGAGACATGCCGTTCAACTCGGCCGTCTCGGAACCCGAGACTGGACTGGAACCTTCGAACGGTCCGTGCTGAGTCGACTTGAAGTTCGTGCTGGGCTGCTTGCGAAGATTCTGGGCCCAGGCGGCGACGACGTGGCGGGAACGCCACACGAAGCCAGTCAGGTGTTGGTCAACGCAAGAGAATGAAGTGGAAGGGAGTTTCGCACTTTTCGCGTCACAAGAAATTGGTTCTTTTGGGAATCACTTGGCTTGGCCTGGTTTATAATACAGCTTTGGACTGGGCTATTTGTGACGGAAGCGCAGAAAACCAGCCCCAGATCAGATCTTTGTTGGGGGAACAGAATCCAGTGTTTGTTGTTCGGCAACAACTGTCCATCTCACCTTGGGAGCTGCCAAACCCTGCGCACCCACAGGCAGAAGACCAAGCTAGATCCTGACTTGCAACGTGCGAATGCCTAAGACCTTTGAGATGCGAATTCCAGGGCCACTTTTCGGTCCACTGGGTATACCGGCTAGACATGGGCAAACTTTTTGGGTGCGTCCCATGTCAGAGTCAATAAAAGAGCATCATCCACACTTCAACGACCATCGCCGTCTGCTCCAATCGCGAGAACGGCATGTCCTTGGCAGGAGAGCCTCATGTCCATCCTTCGCGAGGTGGCCAGGCAAAAGGAAGCTCCTCGGGTTATCACCATCGACCAGAGACGCGTGGGGTCGGACCGGTTTTCTGGACGGACGGGAAACCGGACCGTCCCGGTGGGTTCGGAAGAAACGGTGACCTGTGAGGAGGTGACTTTGTTCAATCAATGTAGGTGAATTCTGTCTGTAAACCCACCTAGGCAGCCGCTTGAGCCTGGGTCCTTGTTTTATGTGTATTTGAAAACTCTTAGAACCATGCTGGGTACTCATGACATTTAATTCGATATTTGTTCATGATCCAAGGTTATCAACTATGTCATGTTTGGTTGTCTCCTCCCGAAGACAGCTGAGCAGCCAGCAACAGTAAAACTTCGGAAGAAGGGGACCCGCTTTGTTTGTCCAGAGTTCTGCATTGTCAATAGGGTCTGAATGAAACATACAATCAAAACACGCCAATCCCAATCAGTTTGTATAAGGGCTAGCAGAAATAAACAATGTGACACTGGACGCCACTCAGCTGACAGCGTTCTTTCTTGCGAACGGGATGTGACCAAGGGTCTTGACCGGTGGCGCAAAGCTGAGGGGTTTCTCAATCATTTCTTCAAACGATATTTTGGAGGCTGAGTGTTTGGCAATACGGCTATTCGTGTTGGAGAATGAACCTGGCTGAGCAAGGCTCGGTTGAGTCTTGCATTGCTTGCGCCTAAAAGCTTTGCGAGCACATTGTTCGATGTGGCACATGCAATTCTTCATCACGGCTCGATCAACCTGTGTAGTAGTTTCATTCCTCTAATGTATATATATATATATACGGTCAAAGTTTCCAAGCAGTTTCAACTTCATCCAGCATGGTGGCAGGCCAGTTCGGGTGATGCTGATGTTGACGAAGGGTTTCGAGCCTGTGCCTGACGTGTTTTTTTCTGACCCTGTGCCTGTCATGTTTGCTGTTCGGCCACAAACCTGAATGTTTTTGGGCGGCACGGTAGACCGAGAAGGTGCAGATTTCGCCACCTGAGAGCGTGGCGTCTTTGGCCAACTGAGGCTGGTAGAGAGAACCCTGAAGACGCTCAGATGCAGCTTCGGGCCAGGTTGTAGATTTGGGAGGTAAAGCATTTACTTGATGCATTTTGGGAGCTCAAGTGTAGTGAAACATACTTAGTTCCCAAAGCATGCATCGAACAACGTAGAATCCTACCACAAGAAACAGTGCTGGTCCGCCATCTTTGGTGCATTGATATGACAATTAAAAAGAATACTTCCCGATTCCCGTCCTCAGGCTATCATTCTCCCCCTTTAAAAAGCCCCTCCCCGTCCCCACCAGCTCTGCAGCTTGGCGAGGAATCCCTCAGTCTGAGGTGGGTATCAACGTCGCAGAGATGAAGAAGATCTTCGACGTGCTGGACGAAGACGACGACGGCCCGTTTGGGGCGTCGGCTGCGGCGGCGAAGCGTTTCGCCACGCGCGGTTCTTTGCTCGGGGGAAGGGTAGGTGCGGTCTGTAGTCGTCTTTGGTGCCAAGTCTATAATATTCCATGGGTATCTACGGTAATTCTATGTCTAGCTTGATTCTGCACTACTGTGTTTGAAACAAGGCATTGTCATGGAAGGCGTCCCTCCCGAACCCAAGTATACACAGCAGGAAGTTGCAACTACTGCGTGAGACTCTGGCACGACGGTACACGCTTCTTATATGCTGGGATTTGACGTGCGGCTGATATTTAAGCTGAAAAGTTTGGATGATACACTGTCCGCAGGACCGATAGAAAGACTGTCCCCATCTGTTTTGCTTTGCGGCCACGTGGTCAAACGTTGATGGACGAAATGGTTTGCCGCATTTTGCCGCGCAAGAATGACCTGTGGACGGTCGTGTTGGAATTCCAGATCTAGATGGTGGATGACTTGTCCATTGAGCAATACTGAAGGAGGATATGCTGAAATGAAAACGCAAGTTTACTCATATTGCAGGCCGCTTGCATAGCTGATCTACGTATGTGATCTATGATGGATGCACCATTGATCACCACGTGGGCAAACGCCCAGCCAGGTGCTCTTTCGATCAAAGAGATGGTGCAACAAGGTAACTTAGAGGTGCCCCGTGCCGGAGCCGATGCGATCCCGTCGCGGTGGTTCACCCGTGTCCCCGAGCCGGAGAGTAATTATCCAAAGGGCGCGGGTGATGCAGCTCCTGGCGGATGCATGGACTCCGATGCTTGGGAGGTTGGTGGAGTGTTGATTGATCCTTCCAGAATGGTGTTATGTCTCCATCATATGGGGAGCTGGATGAATCACAGCTGCATCTAGAAAGATGGTTTTTAGCTGGGGCCTTAAAAAAATCCCAAGACCTTCCGGGGATGCGGTTGGAGACGCCAGAGATGGTTGGTCGAAAAGCCAGTGGACCGTGCCAAATCCGCACGCACTGCTGCCCAAGAAGAATGATTTCCGATATCAGTGGAATACAGAATACAAGTCCCCTACCTCCACAGGCAGAAAGTTATGTCATAGCTATGGCTCTATACATATATATATGTATATCCAGTTGCTCGGAGTCCGGTCCTTGGCCTGACTTTTGGGGATATCGGAAAACAAGTTGGGTCCCTGGTTCAAAAGCAACACGCATGGGCCCCTGGTCCAGATTTGGTTTATTTCCCAACAGAACGTTCAATTGAGCTAGAAGGCATGCTACAACCCCAGGGATGAATGGTTTAAATATGGTGAAAATCAGGGGCCCCGTGGTGATGTTTCACCATCCCAAACCATGCCATGCAGGGGATGAAGGAGCCGCGCCGAGTTTCGTATACGAGGTCTCGGAGCTGTAGCTCAGTGCCTCGCATGGCTGGCCCCCAGCGAACTGTTCCACCAACTCTTTCTGGGTCAAGAAACATGACTCCAAAGCGGAGGGGGCAATTACTTAGGAGTTGAGTCGGGTCATTCTCCAATGGATTTGATATGATTTGATATCCTTGTGGTCTTTGGTGTTGGGGGCCGGACCTAAAGAGTCTCATCAAACACTGTTGGGGGTGGGGTCGGTGGATTGGTTTTTGGTGTAGCTCATGAGCTCGCTGGGGCGCTCGCAGGTGAAAGACGCCTTATATTTCTCGGAGCTCCTGGACAAGGGGCAGGACGCACCAATCATGTAAGGGTGTTTTTGTTGGTCCGATATATGACTCCTGGAAACCTCTTAAGTCTTTGATCAATTGATTCAGCCTGGTTGGCTAAGTGGATTCCCCCAAAGTCTTGAACATCTGTTTGAAACTTTGAAGTCTTGGGGAACTTTTGGAGGGCAAGATCCCGGGCGCAGGAACGCGTAATAATTAAGGCGCGTGGCAGAGCATGCAGACGGCCTACTTCAGTAAAAGCCTAGCGCACTTCATTACAAAAAGACATATAGGGTTCTAAAGCTGAATATGAAAAATCCAATAGATTTTATGGACAAATCCCAATATGCATGCGGATTTGGAGCTTTTTGCGAACTCAGATCTCCGATGCCACCGGTTCTGTTGGGGGCAAGAAACACCTCGAGGATGGCGAGGTGAGCCTACAAGAGCTCATGAACCTGGCTGCATGGCTGAAGTTCAGTTGGCCGCTTGTTTCGTTGGGTGAAAAGAGATGTTGAAACCAACCTTTGGGGTCATACGTACACGCATATATGATGTGTACATGATATGTGTAGACTCTTGAATCTTTCTTTCACCAACTAAAAGAATTTTGACCCGCTTTTTTTCCATGCCAAACGAACGGCCGTAGGCTGCCGCTTCGCCGGCGTCGGACGGGGGAGCGAAGCGGTGAAAATCAGGACATATCAGGACCATGTGAACCAGCTGCAAGAGCTGAAACGGTGTGGGATAATGGTGTGAGTATGGTACATTGGGATACAGAGGATGAGCTTTTTGATTTGTTCAAATGTAAATTATCCAGGTATTTACAAATTGGTGTGAATCAAAGCCAGACACGACCCATGGGACTGCCGGACCTCCGATCAGGCGGTGGAAGCCCGTGAATTTCATGCAAATCAACTGAAAACGATGATACCCCCCCAGCCTGGCAGGGTTAACAAAAACTTGCAGTCATTAGGTCACTTCCAGACCGCGACAAACACTTACAAAACTGCGGGCAAAGACATCCTCTGGCTGCTGTTTGAAGGGGAACGTAGGGGAACATAAACACGATAAACACGTGTTCTATACATGCTCTTCATTGTTGTTTGATATCCACAACAAAAACACGTGTGCAAATATCAATGGCAGAACGCACGTGTTCTGTGGATTCCCAGTTGCTTCATTTCCCAGACACGACCCATGAGACTGCCATGCCACCCCGACCGGTTTTTCTTTTCGTTGTGTCGATGGCGTCGCCCTGGCCGGTCGACCCGGTCGAGCGCCCGGAGCGCCCGGCTGAGCGCCAGGTCGTGGGGAACGGTTCTGGCGAAGTGATGGAAACCATGAAGGGCCTCTTTGCCGCTCGCGCCAGCCTGGCGGAGGGCGGAAGGTGAGGGTGATCCTCGAGTTTTTGCACGGCCGAGGTCACCGAGGTCGAGGAAGCAGCGAAAAAGAAGCAAGAGATCTCAAAAAGAAGCAGGTTTTTAAGAACCAAAGTGTTCGGATTGGGAACTTTTGGCGGGGGAAGAGCGAGGAAGTGTCTTCAATTTCAGATTAGAACATCTAGGATGAACAAAGTTATACGTAGATAGACCGTTCTTTGGATTCTGCAAGAGAGGTCTGAAGTCTTCATCAATTCTGCAGTAGCTTTACTTGCTTCACCCGGCAGGGCATTGAAAACTGGAGATGCCCAAGGATTTGTATATGTGCTAAAAGGATCAAAGAATCAACATGAAATCCATAATCTGAGGGACTTCCACAGAGGAATCAAAGACATTTAACGAGATCAAAGGAGTTTCACTACAATCGAGAGGGAAAGAGAGGTTAATTTGCGAAGTTCATAAGAGAGGTTAATTTGCGAAGTTCATTTGGACACGTCGTAAGTTTTGTGGATTCAGAATCGTTCAGCCTCCACAGTGGTCGGGGCCCTCCACCAAACCCTTTCCACTGTGGTTCGGCCCGGATTCTCAGGGTAGTGTGAGAAAAGAGACCTGTCCTCACCTTGGCCGTGTGACGTTTCGCTGAAGATCGGCGAAGATCGAGGATCGGGAGGAGCGACCTGGTGGGAGGTCGTTGGGGGTTGAGGTCGGGAGCACAAGCTACAAGCATGATGGGAGACCTAGTGGATCCAGTTGAGACCTAGTGGATCCCATTTTGCTTTCTTGATCACTGGTTCAATCAATCTTTTGGATGCACTCTATGTCACTATGTCACTATGTACATCATCGGGAAAAAGGTCAGATGATCCTGGAAAAAAGGTCAGATTACTGTATGGCTTGACAGACACGAGAAAAAAAGGTAGAGTCAGGTCTGTTTTGTTTTGTGTATATCAACTTCAATTTCCAGGTGCATCCAAATCCTAAGACATCCACTTAAGTCCCACCAGGGTCGATTGTTCAAACCCCCACGCGTTGTTTCACGTGTGCCAAAGAGCACATCGTTCGCGCGGCCGAAAGGATGCGGAGTACCATCAATTGGAGGCATAAGTGGGTGGTGCCAAACAAAACACGTGGAATACACATGTTCAAATCCTTCTTTGCTATCTCTTTGCATCCCGTGTTCGTACCGACTCAAGACCAAGCCAACTCGTCATGTCATGATGGTGGATTGTTTGATAGTTTAAAGAGGATTTGGATCAGACACAAGTCTTTCAGCAATTGATTTGCTGGTCTTAGTCTTCCAGGAAGAAGAACACACGACCTTGTTGTTCACAACTACGATTTCCCAAGACTCAAAAGTGTGCTACACCAAGATGTTTGGACTGTATTGAGATGCTCTACAGCATGGTTGGACAATCTACAATCCTACTCACATACATCATAAATCATTATAATGTATTATACTGATTATACTAGTTGTGTTTGGCGCGAGAAGGCGCGCCAAACCCTTCGGGAAGAGTGTGACTCAAATAAATGGATTTATTATACACACACACGCATTGTGTCATATATTATATTATATAGATACAATTTTCCTGAAGTCTCTCACAGGGAGCAGCTATTACTAGTTCACAGACAACTCAGTGTTCAACAGCACAGGAACACTGGGCCCAAACGCTGCCAAGTTGGAGGCTGACTCGCGTTAGCTAGGCCATGTGTTAGGCCCACCGCACACGGGCCGAGTGTGTCCCGTCGCACTGTCGGTGTCCGAGTTGCTTCCGTCGCGTCAGCGTCGCCTCCGAGGCCGCTTTGCTTCAGGGCCCTTCCTTGTGGCCTCCCGAGGGTCCCCCACAGCCGCGTCCTTGGCCGAAAGATGGTGGGGTGGACAAGGAGGACAACGGTGACATCCATGGCTCGTTCCACCGGATTGGGGACTGGGGTAGCTGAATTCTAGAGTCGACCACCTACCCTATCCTGACTTTTTGCTACAGGGCGCACAACCCAGTGCGTGCCCAGTGCAGTGACGCACGACAACTGACAACAAACAATGACACAGGCACCACACATTGTGACAACACCAAACATGCGTAGCTTAACCGCAGTACACACGACTGACGATACACCACCACAACAACAACGACAACAACAGACAACAGACAACAACAACCACCAACAACAACAACAACTGACAACAAGCAAGACCACACTTGGCACTTGGTGACAACACGGAGCTTAAGACTTGACGATATTCAAGGACACTCACGACAACAGGCAACGATGAATGACACGGATAATGACAACACAACACACAACACTAGCTCTTGGTGCTGGTAGAGCAGGTGCAAATGATATGAACTTCAAAGAACTTCCCTCATGCATCTCGCTCCCAGATGCCTCGGCAAAACACTATTAACAGGGTATATGCTGATAATATGGGTGTATATATATATATGCTGATGCTGGAAGACCCTAATTCACTTGTCTTCCAGCACGGACTACATTTGGTTTGGTTTGTTCGACATTGTTCGACTCATTTCATGTTGGGCAGGGTGATTTGTACATCCCACTTCCCTTTGTGTTGCAGGGACTGGGGAAACTGCCCTTGAGAAGGCCCATAAGCACTGCCTTTTTTTAACAGTGAGGTTTCAGACAACATGTATGTTTCACTAGGTCAAAGCTAGTTGTTCAGACGCTTAGATGTTAGATGGTTTTAGGTCAAGGGTGAGCAACTTCTGGGCTGGCTGTTCTGCCTTCTTGTTGGTGTGCCAACGAAGCCGCGATGTCATGTGCAGGCTCGGCACAAGACCCTTGTCACAGGCGGCTGGGCCCTGTTGGTGCTTGATTGAAGCCACTGGACATCACTGGACTTGATGTGCTCGGCGGTAAACAACAGTGAATCAACATGGTGCTGTTTCCAGTCTCCGGCGCAGGTTCTTCTTTTTTGTTCCTCCGTTTTCGAGTGCTTGATCTGTTGAGTTGACATCATCTACGGGAGCTGCCATATCGTGTTATGTGGAAAAGAACGATCGGTGAACCCACAAAAAAACACGTGTACTATACTATAGCTAGTACTACCATCAGCTTGCTGTGAGAGCAAAACAAAGGTTGTATGATGAAATCCAGGTTATTTTCACGATGACCTGAAAATCAAGGAGATGTGCTAAGACCAAATGAAAAACCGGGTTTTCCCTCCTCCGCCCTGTGCTGCTCAGGTGTGTGTTCGTACAGAAGCCATTTTGGCTTCCGGGGCCTCTTGCCAGGGGAGATCCTTGGGCGCATGTACACATGCGAACCAACCGATAGAAGATTATGGGATGTCCCAGGGGAATCAACAAGCCTGGTTGAGACCATCATGGCATCACCCAAACTTCCTGAGCATCACACACGTGAGAACCATCCTGCATGCATCACCTATCCTGCATGCGCAGGCCTACATGTTGAGGTTCCATAGAACTAACACAACCACGCCCGGCCACAAGCTCCCATGCGTGGCCCTTTTTGGCTGCTTCAAGCCAGAGTGAGCCACGAACTCAGCTACCTCCACCTGCGGATTGGGCGGGCAGTGGTTCAAGCAAAAGTTGAAGTGAAGTTGGGGGTATAGGTCTTCAAAGCTCATGATGGACGGACCTTTTGGATCCGGTCTTGGATTGGATTTTTTTTTGCATGCGTTGCCGGGATGCATGTGAGTTGCATGCGTGCATTGATCACTCTGATTGGCCTGCATGTGTGCCCTCACAGCTTTTGGCTTGATTATCCGTGTTCAATCTGATCAGCCCGGCCCTGCCTGGATCGTTTCGCCATGCCACGGAAAGCTTTGAAGGGCCCCTCCTGCGATGCTGGACGCGTTCACAGGGAGTGGAAGCAAGAGCCGGCTGTCCGTCACGCCGTGGTCAAAAACGATAGGATGTTCGAATCACACTTGGTGGAATCCGGAAAGGAAGTTCCAGCGGTCAAGTCTACCATCAAGGATGCTGTCCATGACCAGTTTGTCTTGATCCCTCTTCTTCAACGCATGGCGCAGCATGCAAACCATCCGGTTCCCTATGTCAACGACCTGGCCCGCGAGAGCCTAGCCTACATCCTGTCAATTGTGGGATTAAATTCATGCATGCATGGCCAGTACATGACACTTTTTTTGTCAAACAAAAACATCAACAAACAACATAGGAACAGTTTGTTTACGGCATTGATGACAGGAGGTTGATGTGATAGTCCCCCACTGCTTGCCAACACTTAGGATCAAGTTGTTCAGAACCAAGATGAGCCTTGTGTTGCAAAAAGACAAGATCAAACTCGACGCATGGGTGTGCAAAAGCATGCTCAGCTTCGTCAAGATGAAGACTCACAAACGTCTGGGCAGTGCGGCTACTCGTTGTAGAAAACCAAATATGATTTTTGTTAAATGTTTGAGGATGTCCTTGGAGTCTTTGCAGTCAATCCCCAATGCAGTTGTACTTGGGCCTTTTCACCTTGAGTGCATGTTTGCATTCATATAGTTTTCTTTTTGGGGCATGCTAGTGTGCTGGTCGACCGATCTATGCATGTGGGGGCTTACCTGCATCCAGGATCTGCATTTCCTGAAGCTTCAGCGAATTCTTGACCCCACCATCGAGGCTCGCTTGGGCTGCAAATGATCCAGGTTTTTCTAGTAAAGGCTTTGATGACAAATGGGGCCCAAGCAAATTAAAATAGATTTAGCAATAATTGTGCTTTCCAAGTTTTGTCGACGATACTTGCATTTGCACGCTGTATTTCCGAGACTCTCTTTGTACATGTGAGTTAAGAGTGGAAATATCATACCCAATTGAACACATGCATGCATGTGTGGGGATTGTCAAAGATTGTCTTTGGATCGAATGTCTGCAAAGTATGGTGGTACCCCTTCAACACGACTTTACGCGCGCATAATGCATATGATGGGAATTTAAAATTGTAACTGTGAGCCAGGTGCATGAGTACACGCAGTAAACCTGATAGTGCTTCGCGTTTATACGTTCAGCAGCCATCCTTTAAGT